AACTCCTGGGTTCAAGCAATCCTTTTGCCTCAGTCTCCTGAGTAGCTGGAACTACAGGCATGCGCCACCATGCTTGGCTAATTTTTTCTATATTTTTAGTTGTCTGGCTAATTTCTTTCTATTTTTTAGTAGAGACAGGTGTCTCGCTCTTGCTCAGGCTGGTTTTAAACTCCTGACCTCGAGGGATCCTCCCACCTCAGCCTCCCAGAGTGCTGGGATTACAGGTTGAGCCACCACGCCTGGCCTCCTACTGGTGTCTTAGATACCAAGCAGAGTAAAATCTCTTATCAGGTATCCTCCTCCATTTCACCTTGTCAATCCTCATGGTTGTAGTTGTTAATGCCCTTTTTCACCTGGAAATCTGTTGCATGCCAGAGTTCTGTTCTAGACATGCTATGTTTGAGACTCCTATTCCACATCCCAGGAGAGATATCAAGAGACAGTTGGATGTTTGAATATGGAGTTCAGGAAGAGATCAGTATTCAAGGTGTAAACTTAAAAACTCATTCATCATATAGAGATTATGTAAAGCCATGGATGAGAGCTCCCAGGAAGGAAGTGTAGACAGCTACTGAGGAAATCCATATATATATATATATATATACATGCTAACTAAACAAGATGCTTCATGTAGCCCATAATCATACCCTTATAAATTTAGCACTCTCGATTTTTGCCATTTTCTCTTTACCTATTTTGCTCTCTTATGTCTTTTATCCTTGTACAAGTCTTTTATACATTTATGTGTCACATTGTCTTATTTCTGTCCAAACTTCCTCATCCTCCTCCTATAAACTCTTTCTTTGTTATTTAAATTGTTCTAATTCCTTGCCCTCCAGGAACTCCACATCCTCCTAGCCAGCTCCAGTCCCCAGTCTCAGTAAGCTCTGAGTCAAAAGAATTTTGATCCTGGAATGTGGCAGAACTGACCAAATTTTGGCTCTACCACTTACCAACATGTGATCTGGGATCCGAAGAGCTTCCTTCCTCCATAAAATAGGGAAAATAAAACCCTCCAAAAGAGAGTTGGGCAGATGAAACAAGGTAATGTATATATATATAAAGAGAACAGTTGGAGCAGCAAATTCCCAGTAGGTGTTGAATAATGGCAGGTGTTAATTCTTTTGGCATTTGAGCCTTCTCCCACTCTCATTTCAGTGGCTCTTCCATGATTGCCTGAGCTCTTACCTTCAAGCCCAATAATTTCTATTTTAAGTATATATGTCTCGTTTGTTTGTTGTCTGCCTCATAGACAGACATTTATTAAACACTTACCAGCAGAGGAGTCATAGTCTGATGAAGTCAAACTCCCTGTCCTCTAATCAGGTTCCATATTTTCATACTTTTCTGGATCGAACTTCCCCGACCTTCCATTTTAGGTCCTCAGCCCTCTCCATCCTCTCAGCAATCTTCCTCACCATGCTCTTTACCTGTTTCTAATTTGGACTTTTTTTCTCTTTATCTGAACACACCACTTCCAGAAACCCTTCAATAGGAACAGAAGGAATTTGAAACTTGCATTTCAACTGCTGTCATCTCTTCTTCCCTTTTTAAAGTTAAACTCAAAAGAAGTAAACTGTAAAACTATTATGTTATTCCTAATCACCCTTCTTTCAAGAGCAAATACATGACCTTTTTATTTTTTTAAGCCTCCAGGACACCAGAACACTTGGTGATCCAACTTTCTCCATTCTCTCATGATAAAAACCAAACCTCCTGCATCAATTATCCTTCCTGCTAATTTCATGCTCATGTTGCCACCTGCCCTTGCAGCTTTCTTTCTAAATTTTTTCCAAGAATTCTCAAGAGCCTTCATGTTCACGTCTCCAATATAGTCAAATTGTCTTTCCCGACAAATTTACAGCTTTGTTCTTTTTTGACTCTTAGCTTCTGCTTCTCTGGCAAACACATTAATTTAAATTCTCTCTCCTTGTATTTCATGGACAGGTTGTGGGTGCCAGATGTAAACGAGCTTGGCTTCCTTCTCACTGTTTATTTTCCATCCTTACTCCTCAGGGTCATTGTGTCACTGTCTAGATCCCTGAGAGTTTAAAAAGCCTATCAAGATGTTTCAGACCAGGGGGGAAATTATTGGCTCCATAACATGAAAATATAACTGCAAAATTAAAACTGTTATATTATTCCAATAACAAAACTGTGCAACTCCTTTAGATTTTTAACAGAAAAATAATGTGTGTGGGATGTGGATGCCCTTCTACCTCATCAGATCTTCTGGCCCCTCAAATCTGGTTTCTATGCCTTTTCCTCACTCCCTTCTTGCGTTAACTTCCTTCTCTGGATTTCATATTCCATCTCCATAGTCAGTCTTTCAACTATGTTCAATCTTTTTTTAATCCATTTGTCTTTTCATCGTGTCTACCTGGAAAAACTTCACACCCGAATATGCCCAACCATTCACTTTTCTGCTCTTCAGCAGCTGAACTTGCTGGAGAAGATCACAAAACTGTGCTGAATGGGGCCACGATAAATTTGCAGTCACTAACCACACCGCTCACTACTGCTGAGCCACCGATGACATGTCTCTTATCGATCGCTTCTCTCGCTCTTCACAGTAACTTTTCAAGTTCCTCCTCTCTCCTCAAACATCTGACTAGCCCAACTCTCCTTTCACTCTCAACAGATGACTCACCTCCTTCTTCAGAAAGTAAATTTAAACCATCATACACAAACTACCTCATCTTCTAGCCCACATGTCTAGAAATATACATGGATATCAATCATCCTACAGCACTTTCTTTAATAAAGAATTGTGCCCTCCCGCCATGTTTGAAATTCCATTGCTTCTCATTATTTTGGGCCATTCTCACTTAATTATCTCTTGTCTCCAGTGTCTTCCACCTCATCCTCTCCTCTGAGTCAACTGCTTTCATTCTTAAAAATACCTCCCATAACTCTACCTCCCCTTCACAAAAGTGGTTATCACTCTATTTCTCTCCTCTACTGGTAAGAGAAGCATAACTTCTGTTTTTTGGTTTTTTTTTTCAATAACTGAGTAGATTATTAGAACCAGCCTATTCATCATGTTCACATAAAATGATAAAAAACCATGATTACTGTACTGTTCAATTTTACTAATTCTATCCATTGATGTTTGATTTATTGAATGGCTCAAAATACATTTTTTTCTTTTACCTGGGATGAACAGTAGAATCAGCAAGGCTAAGCCAAGGGAGCCGGTGTTATACAAAGCAATCCCTGTCCTGTCTCGGGAGGCAAAATCTCCATAATCACTTGTAGGGTCTGTTCCGAGTTGTGTCCTGAGTAAGTCCATCATCCTTGTTGGCCCTGTAAGGAGGGATACAACTCCCCGTCCATCAGCTGAGAAACAGAAGGTCCCTGAAAGGCCACTCAAGTGACCTGATGTGTGGCCATCCAGGTTTCATAGTTTTTTTTTTTTTTTGGTTGGTCATCTCCATTTGGATTGGTTGAACTCATCAGCAATTCACATATTTTGTTTAATGAGGTTTAAATTACAAATAGAGCTACTTCTGGAGAAGGATTGTAATGCTAGTTAACACACTTATTTTTCACAATTTGAGGTTTAAAATACAAATTTCGCCATAGGGGTCCTCAAGTCCATGTTGTAAACAACATTATTTGATTGATCACACAGACTTTGTCTCCCAGGCCCCATTTAAATACAGATTCTCTTCTCAAGGCTCCACGGGGGCTGTTCTCGTTCCTGCACAGACACTTTAAAATCAGCATGTCCAAAGACAGAAGTCATGATCTTCTCCCTCAAACCTGCTCCCCTCCCAGGATTCCAGAACCCAGTAAACAGCTTTACCCCTACCTACACGAGAATACCAGGGGACTCTCTAGATTCCTTCCTCTTCCTAATGCCCCAAATCCAATCGAATATCAAGTCCCACCCATTTTACCTTTCAGATATTCCTTGAACCCATCTCCACTGTCACCATCCTCACCCAGGTCTTCCTTTACTCTCCCTTGTAGCACAGAAAAGAGCCTCCTGGTGAGTTCCCTGCTCCCGTACCTGCCTCTCTCCAGGGCATTCCTTCCACTGCAGCCTAAATAGTCTTTTTCAAAATTCTTGTCATCATGTCCCTTTCTTGACTCTTAGGATAAAGTCCCAAATACTTAATGGCTTGCGGGAAACTCCATGGCCTGCCCTGGTCTGCTCTTCTGGCCACCCCATTGCCACACGACTCCTAGCTCTCCCCACTGCAGCTGTGCTGTGTCGCTTCACTTCCTCAAACTCGCTATACCCTTTCCTACCCCTGGGTCTTCCCATGAGCTGTCCCCCTGCCTGATATGCCCTCCTTTCTTTCCATTGAGCTAATGCCTACTCATCCTTCTGAGCTCGGCTTAGGGGACATTGTTGCACGAAAGCTTCTTTGACTTTCTAGAATAGGTTATGTTAATCTGCCTTGTGCTCCCATAGCACTCTGCACTTTTTTTCATTGTTGAACTCAGTTATTCATAGTTATTTAACATTCATCTTCTCCCATTAGAATACATGTTCCATGAGGACATTAATGTGTCTATATCATTCGTGGTTGCCCCTGCAGGGCCTCGCCAATGCCCAACACATAGTCAAGTCTCAATAAAGAGTTGCTGACTAGGTGGCTGAAACACAGTTCTTCCTAGTTAAGGATTCCATTTGGAATCCAGCTAAAACTAAACACCATAGTCCATCATATTCATGCTTTCCTAAAGCTCTTTGACCTTTATTTTCCATTTCACAAAGCTCGTTATGTGTATAATATACTGCCCTCTTCCTCTTTTTCCTCTTCCCAGTGATAGGTCACAAACCGATGTATTTTTATTGGGTGAGGCCCGGGTAATCTCTGTTTATAGCTCTGTCCTTTCTGTGTGCAAACACACAAAGTGAACTTTGGTTTATCTCCTACCATAATGTGGCAGCTAATTACTGGCAGCAGGCTGTATTCCAAGGCCCATGTGACCAGTGGGGCATGACGAGAACGGAGCGTGGACAAGAGCGGACTGAGGGACTCAGCTGGTGGCTCTCCGTCTGGATTTTCTGCCTCCCTCGAAGCCCAGAGCAAAGCAAGTGGGCACAAGGAGTATGGTTCTGATGTACCCAAGGTCATGAAGACACCACTGTTGGGCTTGGCTTTGTGGTCACTGCTTTTCCAGCCCGGACTGACGTTCTGGTCCTCCCAGGTGAGTCAAAGCTGCCTCAATGGCACCTACGAGATCAGCGTCCTGATGACGAACAACTCAGCCTTCCCAGAGCCCCTGGAAAACTTGAGAGATGTGGTGAATGATGGGCTGGAAATAGTGAGAGGACGTCTGCAAAAAGCTGGTAAGAAGAAATTCATTGTTGCAGTTCTTCATTGTATCTTCTAACTATAAGAATAAATTTTATAGTGCTACATAAAATATATAAAATAAAGGGGAAAAATCATCCGTAATAATTTCCAGCTACCTGGATGTTTCTAGTCTACTTCATATGCTTCTTAGTTTCTTGTTTTTAAGAACATGATTGGTGATCACTATGGCATAGAAACAATTTTGTATCCTTCTCGTTCGGTTCATATTTTCCACAAGCGACTTTCATTTGGTTACTTACTCTTCATAGTCATCATGTGAATGGATAGATAATATCCCTTGGAATATATACCGCCCAAATTACCTAATAATTCCCTATTATGGGATACTTTATTTGTGTTTTTAATTTCTTATGATTATTTTTATAATACTACAATCAACATTTCATGTACATAGTTTTTCTCCATTCCTTGAGACTAGATTACCAGAAGTAGAATTACTGAGTCAATGAGTATTTAATACATCTTAATGGTTATTTGCAATTTTAAAGATGGTATATCTTAATTTTCCCTATTTGACATCTTATAGAAATAAGGGCAACGGTTCAGATGTGTATAACTTCCTTCTGTGCACATACATCTTTTTAATTTTGTCTGAAACTAGATTCAGATGTAAATGAACAGATCTGATCTAGAGCTATAACAAGGAGGTCATGTACGAAGGCACTGTGGTATAGTGGACATGTGGACAGAGTGTGGATTCAATCACGAAATTCATATAAAGTACCCCATACACTGAGTGAAACATATTAAAAACTCAATAAATGGTAGTTGTTGCTGTCATTATTGTTATAGATGTTAATGTTGTTATTGCTGTGCCGTTGCTACTGCTGGGAGAACATATTGCCAAGTACATAAAATAAGTAGTATAAAGTAGTTAAAATCTTGGTCTCTGAACTCATACAACCTGGATTTGAAACCCTGCTCTGTCGCTTACTAGCTGAGTAACATTGGGTGAGCTATTTTTCCTCTCTAAGTTTCACTCATGTCATTTGTAAAATAAAGTTATTGTTGGTGAGGTCGTTGGACAGATTATGTAAGTAGAGAGTGAGAGTTCCATGGAGATGGAGGAATAAAAAATGATGCCCAGATTTTTGCATTTGATATGCATTTTGTTGGATGGATATTCATGAATAATAAACACAGAAAGAGCAGGTTTTGGGCAGAAAGATAGTTCATGTTCTATTAAGCATTATTATTTGGGAACAATTCTAAGACAATAGATCTGAGGGCTAAATTGAAGAAAATTAACAGTTCAGAGGTTATGGGTGATGTTCAAAAGGAAGGGATCAATATTTTTTCTGGGACTTAGGAAAGCTTTGTGGGTCTTGAAGAACAGAATTTGTCAGAAAACAACATGATAAAAGAGATTCCTTCAATCTCAGGACATCACCTCCTTGAGGACGTATGTTACAAGGCTCATCGCATGGTCCATACCTTGTGTGTGCTCCCAAGTCCTGAGAGGGGGCTCTCTCCTAGACTTCAGCTTCATGCTGGTCCAAGCCCTTCTTTAAAACCCCAGATAGAAGAAGGAGAGTTCTGAGATCACACTATGTTGTTCAGCTTTCTACCATCCTCCCAGGACTGAGATATCACAGTGGAGTAGAGAGCACAGGCAGGAGAGGGATGAAAAGGAGTAATTGGGGAAAGAATTTGTTTTAAAAGTTAAAATTTGAAGTTATGCCATTGTCTGAAATACATTCAGTATTTTCTTGAGAAATCATTTGAGATTTGGGGAGATAAAAGGGAATCTATTTTCCCTACCAAATTAAAAAACGAAACAAAATAGTACACATAACTGTAAACTATGGAGAGGCAACATGTTACAGTATGTTCTGCAGAAGTGATTCTCAAACGTTTTGGTCTCAG